AAACCTAGTTTTGAGGTAACTGGTTGGGGCAGTGGGAGGGTTAAAAAAAAAGATTTAGAATGGAATGAAAGGCAAAAGAAGTCCAACTATAAATAGGAGTTCAGAAAAGGGAGAGCTCAGAGTAATTGGGAATATTTCATTAAAAAGTGGGACCTCAAGATGAGTTTCAAAATCATGCTTCCTCTGTGGGAAGGAGAGATGTGTTTGGAGAGCGTGAAGGAAGGAGCAACATTGGTAAGGCCTTAGTCTCTTCAGCTACTGATGGGTACATGGATGTTGGTGGTATTGTTCTTTAGGCCTTTCTATATGTCTTATACTTCTCAAACAGTTTATTTTTTTGTTCTGTTGCTGTGGTGTTTGTTTTTTACTGAGGTATCATTCACAAGTTAGTTCACCATTTCAAAGTGTGCAGTTCATTGGTGTTTTGTTCACATATTGTTCAGTCATCACCACTATCTAATTTTGGAACATTTTTGTCTCCCCAGAGAGGCCCCTTAACAGTGACTCCCCATTCCCTTCCCCATCCAGCCCTAGGCAACGTCTAACCAACTTTCCGCCATAGATTTGCCTATTCTGGACATTTCATGTAAATAGAGTCCTACAGTATGTGGCCTTTTGTATATGAATTCTTTTCAAGATTTTCAAGGTTCATCCATGTTGTGACATGAATAATCCGTCATTTTCTTTCTTTCTTTCCTTTTTTTCTAGGACCAGATGTCTTTAGTTTTCAAAAAGTTCCTCCAATCATTTTGAAGTTCAAAATGGGTTAGGAAACCACCTTTGGCTATTACTTTTCTTAATTCTATTATTTGGCTTGGAATAAAGCTGATTTTTATAAATTTGTCAATAACACCTTACTGAGCACTCTTCAGATAATAATGTATATATTTTTATTGTGGCAAAATATATGTAAATAAAATTTACCATTTTAACCATTTTTAAGTGTACAATTCAGTGATACTAAATATATCCATCATTTTGTACAACCATCACCACTATCCATTTCCAGAGCTTTTTCATCTTCCAGCTTCTCTACATCATTGCCAGCACTTGTTCTTTTCCATGTTCTTTTTTTTTCCATTACGATCATCCTGGTAGGTGTGAAGTACTGTCTCATTGTGGTTTTATTTGCATTTCCTTAATGACAAATGATGTTGAACATCTTTTCATGTGCCACTAATTTGTCTGTCTGCTTTGTAGAAATGTCTATTTTAAAATTGAATTATTTGTCTTTTTACTGTTGAGTTCTGAGAATTCTTTTCTAGTCTGGCTGCTAGATGATTCTTAGATTCACAATTTGCAAATATTTTTTCCCATTCTGTGGGGTTCTCTTAACTTTCTTGATAGTGTCATTTGTTGCACAAAATTTTGAATTTTGATGAAGTCTAATTTATCTCTTTTTAATTTGGTTGTTTGTGCTTTAGGTGTCACAAGTATGACACCACTGCCAAATCCAAAGATGTGAAGATTTACACTTATGTTTTTTTTCAAAGTGTTTTATCATTTTAGCTCTTACATTTAGATCTTTGATCCATTTTGAGTTAATTTTTTTATAAGGTGTGAGGTAGAGGTCCATATTCATTCTTTTGGATGTGGTTGTCCAATTTTCCCAGCACTGATTATTGAAGGCTAGGCTACTCTTTACCCCTTTGAATTGTCTTGGCACTTCTGTCAAAAATCAATTTGTATAGTTGTATGGGTTTATTTCTGAATTCTCAATTCTGTTCTATTGATAGATATGGCTATCTTTATGCTAGTACCGCAATCTTGATTACTATAGCTTTGTAGTAAGCTTTGAAACAGGGAAGTGTGAGTCCTCAAATTCATTCTTAATTTTCAAAATTGTTTTGCTCTTTTGGTTCCCTTGCATTTCTGTATGAATTGAGCATGAACTTGTTAATTTCTGCCCCAAAAAGCAGTTGAGATTTTGATTGACATTGCCTTGAATTTGTAGATTTGTTTGGGAAGTATTGCCATCTTAACAACATTACATCTTCTAATACCTGAGCATGAGATGGTTTCCACTGATTTAGGTCTTCTTTGATTTCTGTTGATGATGTTTTGTAGTTTACAGTGTACAAGTGTTATACTCTATTTCTTACATTTATTCCTAGGTATTTTGTTCTTTTGGATGCTCTTATAAATGGAGTTGTTTTCTTAATTTCCTAATTTTTGGATTGCTTATTGCTAGTGTATAGAAATACTACTGATTTTTATATATTGATCTTGTATCTTGAAACTGTGATGAACTTGTTTATGAGCTCTAATAGTTTTGTGAATGTGTATTCCGTAGAGTTTTCCCTATATAGGATCATTTCATCTGCACACAGAAATAGTTTTATTTGCTCAATTGCCATGCCTGGAACATCCAGTACAGTGTTGAATAGAAGTAGTGAGAGGGACATCCTTGTCTTATTCCTAATTTTAGAGAGAAAACTTTTAGTTTTATCATTAAATGTGATATTAGCTATATGCTCTTCATCAGGTTAAGGAAGTTCCCTTCTATTTCTAGTTTGTTGGGTGTTTTTTATTATAAAAGAGTATTGGACTTTGTTGAATGCTTTTTCTGCATCTGTTGAGGTGGTCTAGTGGTTATTGTCTTAATTTTATTAGTATGTTGCATTACATTGATTTTTACATATTAAACCATCTTTGTATTTCTTGATCATGGTGTATAATCCTTTTTATATGCTTCTGGATTCAGTTTGCTGGTATTTTGTTGAGACTTTTGTGTCTGTATTCATAAGGGATATTACAGGGTTTTTTTTTTAAGATTTTATTTATTTATTTGACAGAGATCACAAGTAGACAGAGAGGCAGGCAGAGAGAGAGAGGGAAGCAGGCTCCCCGCTGAGCAGAGCGCCTGATGTGGGGCTCGATCCCATGACCCTGAGATCATGACCTGAGCCGAAGGCAGCGGCTTAACCCACTGAGCCACCCAGGCGCCCCAGGGATATTACAGTTTTGATTTTTTTTGTGATGTCTTTGTCTGATTTTGTATCAAGTCAATACCAACCTTACAGAATGAGTTGGGCAGTGTGTCCTCTTCTGTTTCTTGGAAGAATTTGCAAAGGATTGGTATTAATTCTTTAAACATTTGGTAGAATTCATCAGTAAAGCCATCTGGTCCTGGGCTTTTCTTTGTGGGGGTTCATTTTTTAATGCAAGGTGCAGAAGAGTATTTATAGTACAATCCCATCTGAGAGAGAAAATAAGTCTTTTTAAGGCTGTATCTGTATGCTTGTATTTACACAGAAAAGTTCAGAAAAGATGTACAAAAAAAGATATAACAGCAAAGGTTATCTTTGGGTAATGAGATAGAACTTAAGTCTTCTGTGCCTTATATATAATTACAAGCGTGTATTGCTTGGTATATATATTTTTTTTCTTTAAAGATTTTATTTATTTATTTATTTATTTATTTATTTGACAGAGAGAGGGGTCACAAGTAGGCAGAGGCAGGCAGAGGATTGGGGTGAAGCAGGCTCCCCGCTGAGCAGAGAGCCCAATACGGGGCTCCATCCCAGGACCCTGAGATCATGACCTGAACCAAAGGCAGAGGCTTAACCCACTGAGCCACCCAGGTGCCCTATTTTTTAAAGCCTACTTAGAATGGCTAATGTTTGACAATTTGCTCTTTCATCCACACAATGAGTTGCCAGTGCTCTGTACTTGCCACTGGCCTTGTCTACTTAGGAGCTCAGTCTCATAGGCCCCTGCCTATCCAGCTTCGTAGTCTGCTGCACCCCTTCTCTGTTTCTCCTCCATCAACACCAAATTACCTATCAGTTCCCTGAGAGTGGCCCATGGTTATGTGCTACTGTGCTTCTCTACATTCTATTCTATTTCCTTTCCCTTCCAGCCCTTCCCCTTGTATCTTTGAAATGCCTTCCAAATATCAGTTCCCTTCCTTCATGAATACCTTCCAACTCACTCTTCTCCCTTCCATTCTTTACCCAAGGGGAGAAGAAACTCCCCCTTCTGCTGCCTGTCATACAGTATGCATATTTTTCTTACTGAACTTTATATTTACCCTGCATCATAATCACTAGTTCACATATATGCCTTCCCTAAAAGTACAGTTTTATCCAATTTTGTAACCCAGAGTTTAGCACAGAATCGATGCTCAGAAGTACTTTGAATTGAATTCATGAGACAGGAAAAGGCATTGTGGGTAGGATGAGCAATGTGAGCAAAGGCCAGTTATGACTTACTATAACATGGCAAAACGGGAAGATTCACGTTGGGAAATACAGTTGAATGATTTCGTCAAGGCTGTTTGGTCGTGGAGGCTTTTGAGAGCCAGAGAGCGTAGACTCCGTAGATAAGCACCAGTGGAATGGAGAGCTCTTCTCACTTACTTCGAGTCTTTGCTCCATGGACCACCTCCTTCAGAATGGGTCACCTCTCCATTCACACGTCCCCTGACCCCAGCACTCTTTGTCTCCCCTTCCCTCATCTTCCTCTTTTTCCATAGCTCTTACCACATTGTATATCATTTACTTATTCGTTATGTTTTTTTTTTTAAATCTGTTGTCTTTCTTCCCCATTAGAATATAAGCTTCCTGCACCACGGTAGCCTTGTCCACTGCTGTTTCTCAAGCACCTAGAACATTGCCTGGAACACAGTAGGGATGTAGAAAACAGTTGTTGGGTGAATGAATCTCAAATTAATGAACTTCAATATCTTGTCCAGAACTGGCAGAGTACAGCCTAGGTATAATTCAAATATGTTTCTGAAAGAAAGAAAGAAATTTATAGAAGTACATAATATTGCTAAAATAGTGTCCATTGTGTGTTATGTCTGTAATCTGGGGCAGGTCAGGGGAGGGATGGGAGGGAAAGACACAGTGTCTTAAGGTTTCTTGCCTTAGAAACCAGCTTGGGAAGTCAAAATTATAAATACATTTAAGTTTATTTATTTCTTGCCTAGAAAAGTGTTGTTGTGTGTGGTGACTAATTCCCATGCTTTAATAATTTCTCTTTTTCTTTCTCCACAGACCTTTGTAGTATTAAACAGAGGGAAAACTCTCTTCAGATTTAGTGCCACGCCTGCCTTGTACATTTTAAGTCCTTTTAACCTGATAAGAAGAATAGCTATTAAAATTTTGATACATTCATATCCTTTTCTACAATGTGGGCTGAGTGCAGCATTTGCATGGTCGCTGGTATATAGAATATGTTTCTGAACTTTGACAATTGAATTGTATATTAAGTATCTTATCAGTAGTGTCATTGACAGTAGTGTCGGAGCCAGCAGTTTGCATGACCTTCTGCCAGATCCTGGATTAAGCTTCAGCCAACTCTCTTTTCCTAGAATGATATCACGGGAGTCCAGAATTTTGTTGGTATCACGAGGAAAGACAAATCAAGACACTAACCTGTAACTGAAACCTTACTCTTTGAAGTGCTCAGAGTTCAGTAATTTCATCCTGAGGCAAACGATTCAGGTCTTTAACACAAGTTCAATGCTAGAATTTTTTGGAAGGCCACTTCTTGAGTATAAAGAGTTCAATGAATGCTTTAGAAATCTGCCTTGAATATTTCTGATTTCTTGAGCAGTGTGTATGGAAAGTGCCAGAGACAGTTTCTCACGTTAAATGGCCCCTTCATATAGAGGTTTAGATCCAGATTGCAAGCCTAATATGAGTCTCTACTCGCATTCCCCCCCCCTTCAGCAGAAAATGCCCATTTACTCATGTGGCCTGACTTTCATATCTTATTAATATAAGAGAGTGTATGACAGATGAAAAATTATGTGATGAGTTTAGCAACTTCGCATAGTGACTTTATATTTAATGGTTGGAGTTTAGTTTGTCAGGACTTAGTCCCGTGCTCTGAAGGATATTGTATTCTCCAAGTAGGATGAGGAAAGTGGCGATTGGAACTTAGTAAATTGGTTGGCTAAGCTGTTGGCACATTTTATTGACTCTAAGAATTTAGCAGCCCAATTCCGAAATCTGTGGTTTATAAGGAACATAGTTCTGAAACTTAAAGGTTTACAAGGAATAAATAATTCACAGTGGACTTCCTCCCCTTTTATTGGATCAGAAGGCAGCATCTTTTTCTCTTCTAACTGGAATGTGTTATTCCCGGAAGAGAAGTTGAGCTGTAATGAAGAAAAAATCCAGCTGTAAGAAGTATTTTTTCTTTAAAAAACTCCATTAGTAGAGTGAGGATGGTGAAAGCTGTTAGCAAGAGAGAGAGTTAGCAACAAATGGGATATGGTTTCTGTGCTTGTTCAAGTGACAGTTTTTTGAGTTTGAGTAACTCACATGCTGACCTAAAGGAGTTTATTTTTTTCTCAGTAGACAAAAACAGAAAGGGTTGAGAAAAATCTTGGATGGAATAGAAAAAGCAACAAAATGGTTTGCTCTCCATAAACATTCCTGAGCACTTTGAGCATGACCAGACGCATCTTCCCCATTATCTAATTCTTAGTATGGTGGTGCATATATCCTTGAAATCCTCACCCAACAGGTCGTGACTGGTTTCCCAAACTGTTCAAATGCCACACATAGCGGCTGTTGCCTTGCCCTCTAAGGACAATTCAGCCCTTTGGGGACCTAGGAGTGAACCGTTGTGTTCTACCCCTGAAACCACCATAACAGTGTGTGCCAACTATACTTCAATTAAAAAAAAAAAAAGTGAACCATTAATTGCATGTAGCTTTCCAAATAACTAGTTATGCAAGACAAGATAATTAACAGTAAATGAGTACTGAATAATATAGATTTGATTTAATGTGTTTTTTCACCTGATGATTTGGGCATATGGTAGGCCAGTAGATTTCTGGTTACTCTGTACGCCGGGATTTAGAGACTTATTCCATAGCTGAGGCTGAAGAGGGAAGGGGTAGGGGGGAAGATGATTTATCCAAAAGGAGTAGAGCAGTGACAGCCCTTTTGAAAGAAAGAGAGTGGCTCTCCTGCTGTGTCCACCCACAGTTCTCTGGTCAGGTGTCGATACATATGGCTGCATTCTGTGTTCATGGTGGCTTTCATTATCACCTTGCCGTTTCCTTGTCCTCTGTGCTTTGTCTCCTTTCAGGTTACTGACTTAATTCTCATGATACCCAATGTGAAATGTGTTTGCTTTCTGAGGAAGAAAATAGGCCAGATTTTGTATATTCTCCCTTGACTCTTTTCTACAGTATTTAGCATGATCATTATGTGCACTATTTTGACCAACTGTGTATTCATGACTTTTAGTAACCCTCCTGAATGGTCGAAGAATGTGGAGTAAGTAGCTCATTTATTTATTTGTCTGCTTGCTTGTTTTAAAGATTTTTACACACCAAATCTTGCTCTGCACAGTTTATCCATGAAGGAAAAAAATTGTTTTTTTTCCCACTCTTTACTTCACAGAGAAGGGTGAGGATCCATGTGGAATTTAGGAAATATCCTTAGAAGTCAACTCTAGAAAGAGAAAGTGCATTCTGGAAGTTACTGCCCTTCACCTCCACCCTTACCTGTGCTGGCCAATGCCTTTGACTTGCTGCCCCAGCGCCATCTTGTGCCCTCAGTTAGTCTCTCATGACACTGCCTTCTTCTCCAACATGAGGTTTCCTATTTTTTTTTTTTTAACTTGTCTAAAGTTAAAAATAGCTCTGGGGCCTCCTCACCTGGTTCAAAATGATCACCTACTAGATGGCACCCAGTACAGCATTCCAAAGTTCTTGGTTTTCTGTTTCGGTAAGTTTCCTTCAAAGCATCCCTTTCTCTTCCTGCCTTCCTTTCTGCTGCATTGGCTGTGCCATTCCGTTTTGTCTCTACTAGTTGAAGCCACATTTCAGGCACTGTTACCTTCAAGGATTCATTTAAAGTTTCTGTCTGTTTGGAAATTACCTCAAACTCTCCATTTCTTTGACAGGTACACATTCACAGGGATTTATACATTTGAATCACTAGTGAAAATCATTGCGAGAGGTTTCTGCATAGATGGCTTTACCTTTTTACGGGATCCGTGGAACTGGTTGGATTTCAGTGTCATCATGATGGCGTAAGTTGTCTGCTTACTTTACTGCTGTTCTGGGTGTGATTGTGTATGTGTGGTTCTATTCCTGGTTGTGTCTGTAAGTGTGTTTATGGACAGTTATAAGAGGAACTAATGGATAACCATTTAAGGCCAAACAGGCTTTATGCCTGTGATTCTTGCTTGTGAGGACAATGACAGCATGTTTCCATGGGAGAAGGAAAGCCAAGGTTTTACAGTGAGGAAGGAAAGTAGCAAGTGATTTTCCATTGACATGCTCTCATATTTTCTTCCCCCTTTTAACACTGATCAAGGTTTGCCTGCTTATCACCGTGGGGCCTTGGTGAAGATTTGAAATTTTTTAGGTGTTAACCTTAACCTGAAAATCAGTTTCTTGGATATGTTATATCGTGTGTAATTTCATGAGGCTGGTCCAGATGTTGCAGACTTGAGAGCACATTTTAAAGTTAAAACATGAGCCAAGGTATCCAAACTGGTCCCTTCCTAAGGAAGTACGTACTGACCAGAAGTTCAAACTATTGTGAGAGGGCAGTATGACCCCCACATTAGTGTGCTAGCTGCATGTCTGCATACCTGTATCTCTTTGGGAAATGTAACTGATGGTTGAAGAGTTAGAGCAGATTTAACTCTTTGTATTTTCAGGTGCGGAAGCACTCTGTGGTATGGTGGGGAGTAAGGGCATTGCATAGATTGTGTGTGTGCATGCAGATGTGTAAGAGAGTGGTGCGTCTGTATTTATACGGGTCTGAGCGTCAGAAAGACGGGTTTCAGCTGTAAAATGTGAATGAGTGAACGCTATGCATTGAATATTTGAAACTGAAACTTTGACTTTCTGTTATATTAAGGCAATTTCCAGCTTTCCAACATTATGAATGCACACTGGTGTTCATTTAAAATTTAAGTGTCCTTGCTGGGCACAGAGCTGGTGATAAAATGGGCACTTAACACACTATTTGCTTTGATCCCATGATCCTGAGCCCTGCTCTTGTATGTCACAGGCACTTCATCTGAGGGCGTGACTGCAAAGATATGCGTGCAACTCTTCGATAAGTCATATATGTAGACATTAAGGCACTTTTGCCATAGTCAACTAGGGAGCTATTTGATGTAAATTTGTTTTTATGGGGCTTCAGCTACAGAAATTTGCCTCCTTTTTCCTAAGAAATTATTCACAAAGCTTGGGGACATAAGCCTTTGATACATCCTGGCCTGCCTTTTTGCTAAAAATAATGAATGGACCGAGAATAGTCATTCTGATTGGGATCCACACAGCACGATGCTGATTAAGAGAGTAAGCCCTCAGAACCTCCTGGTTGTATCAGTTCTTTCAAATATTCTTTTGAATTCTCCTTGCCCAACTGAAAAAAGAAATGTGTTCTTTAAGTGTTTATATTTAGAAATTTTCTTTTTCAACAACAAAAAGAATGAAATCATAGCTTGTGTATAAGACCCTTTCTTCCCCCCCATTGTCAAACCCTCGCCCAGTGGTACCATTACAAGTTAACTTTGGTTTGATTCTGCAGGTATATAACAGAGTTTGTAAACCTAGGCAATGTTTCAGCTCTACGCACTTTCAGGGTACTGAGGGCTTTGAAAACTATTTCGGTAATCCCAGGTAAGATGGCCCGGGGTTGGTGTTAGGTGTTGGGTTAGGGCCCTGACGTGACGTATTGTACTTTTTGTTTTGTTGTGGTTTTGTTTTTTTTCCCTCGGTGTTTGTGTTCGTGTCTGTGTTTGTCATTTGTGTCTGTGTGTGACCTCCCTTACTACAGATATGTGACAGAGTTTGTGGACCTGGGCAATGTCTCAGCGCTGAGAACATTCAGGGTTCTCCGAGCTTTGAAAACTATCTCTGTAATTCCAGGTGAGAAAATTTACACCCACAATGGACTGCCTCATCGCCTCTTTGCCCTCCATTCATTGTGTCCACCACATTCTAAACCGGTGTCAGCACACTTGATATGGCCTTGCATTCCGCATGTTCTTCCTGGGAGACGTTCTCTGGAATGGCCCTTTGGTCCTCAGGCCCTTGCGATGGCAGCGCTGGCCAGGCATGCAGCCCCCATTCCATCCATGCTTTGAGAAAGCACGTGCTGAAAAATCACTTGGATCCTCCAGTATCTGAAAAAATTGTCACAGAGCTAGCTGTCTCTTTACACATTGATCATTTGCTTCCTGGCCTCATGGAATTACAGTATATTTAACATTCACCGTCATCCCATTGCTTGTGGTTTCTAGGCTTCCTGTCGCATGGTTTGCTGATGGGATGTTATTCAATGAGCTATACTTTTCTTGTAACTGTGTTAATGGACTTATTTAACCACAGAAGACACCTACCCTGTTAACTAGTCCAGTTTTAGAGCCAAATTGAAGAGCCTTGGAGTTAGTGAACAACTTTAGTAATCACTATCACATCCTATTGCTGTCTGTTTCACTGGAGTAAGAGCCAGTAGACATCTATTATGTATGTATTCAGAGGCCATTCTCAAACACAAATCCCAATGAAAGCTTGTGCAGACGCTGTTAAAAACAGTGAAAGGTAAGATAACATACATACGTCTGAATGTATGGGCAAACAACAAGGACAGAAACTTGAGAAGGAAAAGGAATCAGTCAGTGGGTGGCTGTGAAGTAGTTAACTGACAGTGGTTTCATAATTTTTGCCTCTTTCTTTTTGGTGCTGGTTGAACTAGCCAAGTGCTTCTTAACCTTTTGAAAGTTTTAGGTCCTTTCGAGAAGCAGGGGAAAGTTCCCAGACCCTGCTGAAACCCACCCATGGACCCCACATTAAGATCCTTAATTTAATTTAAATCCTTACTACCAGGTAGTGCTTAACTATTTTTTCCAAAGGCTGGTCTTGAAATCTGGAAGGGAAGGTATTTGAGCTAGTCTTGCTAGCCTGAGATACACGGGCAGGAACATGGCAGAAATCAAGAGTGTGCAGTTGCTGGCTGGTCTCTGGTTCCATTCAGGGTCTTTCAGGGAAGACGCCCAAGGGACCAAGCTCCCCACTGTGCTCTTGTAGAAGCAGGGACATGAAGAGCAGAGGCATCCTGTTCCTGGCGTCACATGGCTTTTCTGGCAGCCGACTCAGAAATATTCCTCTTTTCCCCTTTTCAACTTTATCTAAATATCAGACACAGAGAGAGGGAAGCCTAAAGATAGAGTCCTGGAGAGAGCTGACTTGGAATGTGGCTTTCTGAACACCTCAAGGAAGGTAAACCTCAGTTTCTCCATTTACAAATCTAGGCATGAAGTGGGCCAGTAAATTCAGGCCCTACTAAAAATGAGTTCTTTTCTAGTTAGCAGTGGGAGCTTTCTCCCTGTCAGCTAGAGGCTAGGCATCAGTTGGAGTACATTTTTGGCAAAAAAACTACAACCCTGACTTACCAAGGTTCAGTTCCTAGCCATTTTAAATCCATTTGACAAAAAAGTGAAGCTCATTCTCCAGGCAACGTCACGCAGCTCATTGATGGAGGTTTAACCCTTAGGCAGGCCTTGTCTTATTTCTTCAGGCATCTGGAGCACCAAATCTGTATTTTCATTTTCCCTCTGCTCTCTTTCTTCTCTGGCCTCTTTTAAATATGATCCCATGTTTTCTGTTCACTTCCCCCAATGTACTCTGCAAGGCATCTGTCTCTTTATGTTCTTGTGATCTGAAAACTTCTCTTCCAGAATTAAATTGGAAAGCTGCGTTCTGTTCACTAACTAGGGCAGCAGATGCTATCTCTGGTCTAGCTTTTAGCTTCTGTCTCTGCTGTACGGTTAGCTTCTGACCACAGCACTTCTGCAAGGTAACTCTTGACCGGGATCAGACTACTTATCCTTATTATTAACCTGTCTATCTGTCTATTTGCAAAATCTATTTGTAAACACAGAGTAGTGCTCTATCAGTGATTTTTGTGTAGCAATTATTATTATAAAGAAGAAAGCTAAACCCAAAGAAAAGGTTTGTATCAAGCCTTAGACCTCCACTTCACAATTTGAAATAGATTCCAGATTCCTGTTTCTAGAAGCACCCCCACTCGAGCTGGCTTTGCGAAGTTAACTGGGATGCAAAATAACTCTAATGGCTAATAAAGTCAGTAATAGATCTATGAGTGGTATAATTGGTATTTGAATTAAAGTGTGACTTTTCATGCCAAGTCCTTTCTCTCCCGATTCTATTTATAGAAGACTGTGGCCCTGTTCCTACCTGCCTGTTAACCAGCTCTCCTTTCAAGATGGGAGCACCATTGCATGAGTCACTAGACCTGGTGCCATCCCTTGACTGGAAATCTCAGTCATTCTGACTCTACTGTAGAGCCAGGCCTTAGTCTCCTCTTAGTGAAAGCCATTGTTGTGCACGCCAAGTTTTCTCATGGGTCAGTTCAGTGGGACTGGGGCTCTCTTTACCTTTTCCTGTTCCCAGTTTGATTGTAGGCTTTTGCGAAAGCTGCCAGGAACAGAAGCAAGGGCAACCACATAACTGACATGAGGTCTGCAAGATTCCACAAAGCCTTCAGCTCCCTTCATGAGATTTCTGCCTTCCTGGATAGCTCACCCACTCATCTGCCGTCCCTCTTAGAACTTTTGGTAGATAGTCTGAATGTGTCAGCGAGGTCAGGACTCCCAGAAGGTGGGGTAGTACAGTGCACCGGTTAGCTCCAGCCTTTTGGATAAGGGCTGCTTTGATTTAGAGCTTTCTAGTGCCTGAGAAAAGACCAAACCCACATTATGACCCTTTTTATTTGCTGAATGGAGACCTAGATACGTATCACACATGGTGTCCTTTTTGCTTCCGAGGCCTTGGCTTGAAGAACTGTGCATGCAAGCTATAGTTATAGGAAAAGACCCTTTCTACATTTTCTTTGGTCCAGAATTTGCTGGATTCAACTCAACATTGAAGTATTCTGTGTAGAAATTCCTATCTTAAAACTTTATTTTCAGGGCGCCTAGGTGGCTCAGTCGGTTCATGGTCCAACTCTTGGTTTTAGCTCAGGTCATGGTCTCTGGGCAGTGGGAATCGAGCCCTGCATCAGGCTCTGTGTTCAGCACGGAGTCTGCTTGTCCCTTTCCCTTTGTTCATCTCCCCCCACCGCCGTCTCTCTCTCTTTCTCTCTCTCTCTCTCAAATAAATAAATAAAATCTTCAAACAAGCAAATAAACAAAAACTTTGTTTTTGCTTTATATTCATTCGGGGCCTGGGCATAAAAATGAGCTTCTGAGTGACTTTGTCAGAAGTTTGATCTTCTACATGTTTTAATCATGTGCCACAGGACTGACATACCCAAAGAAAGCGTGGAAATCTCAAAGCAAGAATCTTGAGGTTTTCCTATTGAGTAGCATTTAGTGGTGTAAATAAAACCAGTTGGAACAGCCTTACTTGCCAGTTGCTTCTCATTTCTATCATCATTTCAGTGACTCCCCAAAAGCACTGCATTTCTATTTGCCAACACTAGTTTAATATCATTTTGCTTTCTTTAGAGTTATAATTTTTTATTATTTTTCTCTTTGATTTTTTTTTTTTTTTTATTTCTGTGCTTTCATTTCTGTTACTTTCTCTCCTTACCTGTGGTATCAGGTAAGAAGCAGGAAAGAGGTTGGGCCCTTCTTCTTCCCACCCTGGTATTCACAAAGGAAGCATTTTCTTTAGACACATGCATTATGAAGATGGCAATTTCTGCTGCACAGTGAAGGGAGATAAAAAAGTGTTTTCATACTATATTTAGACTCCTTGTTTCCTTTATAATATTCTAGTTATTAATCCAGTGCCTCTTGTATTTCTCCTTTTCCCACTGCTTCTCAGAGAAGATAACTGAAGTTGAACACAATGGTCCTAAATGGGAAAACACTGGAGTCTCACAGGCTCCCACTGACCCACCTTTGGGAGCTAGTTTAAGTTTTGTTCAGACTTTGTGATGCAAATTTGGTCTTGGATAAATAAATCTACTGCCTTCAGATCTCTCCCAAATTATTCTTGATCTAAAGAACCCTCAAGAATATCATTGTGAGGCTTGAACCTGCAGCAGGAAAATTGACCTGGCACAACTTTACCCTAGGGCTTATCTGAACGAAGCCAGAATTTGGAAATTGGGGAACTTTTTCCCCCTGGGGTGAGAACTGCTTGTTACTGCTCTTGAGACCTGTTCCAATGTTAATTTTGTAGAATTAGCTCATGTGGCTTCAAACCAGACAGATTTCTCAACCTGAGCCACAAACTAGGAAATATAAATTTACTTTATTTATGATCTGGCATCACCGCTGTGGAAGATTGTGATCCCGGGATGCATGGCTGATTTCTCCGGACTTGGCACATAAGCAGGCTTTGTTCATTTGTCCAAGGGGTTGGATGTCATGAAAGGGGACGGGGGTTCAGATGCATTTGGATGTAGCAGCTTCACTGCTTCTCAAAATTCCTCAAGTGTCCCGACTTCCTCTCTGGTAGCTGACATTTCTGTACGTTGGGTCCAGCTGTCTTTTCTTGATCTGTAGTAAATGTATTAACTGCTTCTGCTCAGACTCATCCCAATACTATTTAATGTTAGCCTTTCCAAGAGTTCTCGCTGTCCAATTTGCCCCCATGTGGCTTCTGTTGCACACTCTGTTGTGTAGGAGTTGTTTGAAGGAGCATTCTGCTCTGTTTGGGATAATCAGCTTCCAGTCAGTATCTTGCTTATTCTGGTGTGTGGTGGTGTGAGCCAGTAGAAGAAGCAAGGCAACTTCTCCTCACAGCCAGAACAGTGGCATTTTCCATTCTTGTACGCATCAGGTCAGGAATTCCACCAGCAGCTTCTCACTTTATTGACCTGTGTTAGTGCTAACAGGGAGCACTTTTGCCTGGCTGCATTTACTAGTGCGTGTCAGTCATTGCTGGCAAGACTGTAGAGGCTGAGCTCAAGAAAGGCATTATATGAAAGACCATCAGGTACATGAAAAGATGCTCAACATCACTAGTCATTAGAGAAATGCAAATTAAAACCATAATGAGATATCAGCTTACACAAGTTAGAATGGCCATCATCAAAGAGATGCGACAGCAAACGCTGGCATGGATGCGGAGAAAATGGAACCCTTGCACGCTGTTGGGCTTAGTAAATTGGTGCAGCCACTATGGGAAGCAGTATGAAGGATCCTCAGAAATTAAAAATAGAACTACCATATGATCCAGCAATTCTACTTCTGGGAATATATCCAAAGGAAACGAAAACACTAACTCAGAAAAGATATCTGCACCCCATGTTCATAACAGCATTATTTACAATAGCCAAGACATGGAAGCAATCTAGGTGTCCATTGATGGATGAACAGACAAAATTGTGAGAGAGATACACAATGAAATATTGTTCAGGTACGAAAATAATGAGGAAATCCTACCATTTTTGACAACATGGATGGACCTTGAAGGCATTATGCTCAGTAAAATGAGTTGGACAGAGAAAGACAAACAAATACTGTATGATGTCACTGAAATATGGAATCTAAAAACAAACAAACTCATAGAAAAAGAGATCAGACTTGTGGATCCCCGAGGCAGAGTGTGGGGGGAGGAGTTGGAGGAAGTTGGTCTAAAGTTACCTGACTTCCAGGTATAAGAAAGTGCTGGGGATATAGTGGACAACATGATAACGATAGCTAACATCACTGCATGATACATGGGAAAGTTGTTAACAGAGTAATTCCTAAGAGTTCTTATCATAAGGAAATATTTTTTTCTTTTTGTTCTCTTTTTATTGTATCTATTTGAGAAGGTGGATGTTAGCTAACCCTATGGTGATAATCATTTCACAGTATATGTAAGTCAAACAATTATGATGTATGCCTTAAACGTCTACAGTGATGTATGTCAATTATTTCTCAATAAAACTGTGGGGAGGGGGAGAAAGAAATGCATTGATAGCCCCATCTCCATAATCTGGTGTTGATGTCTGCAAATATGTTCCTTGACAATCATCAACCCTAATGGAAGGAAGAAGAGTCTTGGTGAAAGCCAGATGACCCAGTGACCATTTACATTTAACACTGCTGTGTAATTGTGGGTCTGCCTCGGCATGCTAACATTATGCCACACCACCTTTCTTCCTGTGGGACCTGAATGAAAGTCTTGGAGAGTAAATTTTTAGATGGCCATAGTTAGTGTTATTCAGTGGTTATTCTTGCTTAGTTAAGATATGTTTCTCTGAGCCCCTGTGAAGTAAAAGCAGCTGAATACCATTTCCAACTTAAGTTTTTACCTTAAACTTCTTGAGAGTTGAAAAGCTCTCACCAACACGTTGATCTAAACCTCAGACTTCAGAAGAAAACACTTCAAGTGTTTTGGGGTTTTTTTGTTTGGGTTTTTGTTTTTGTTTTTTTAGCCTTCTTGACTCATGTTTACAGATTTCTTCAGCAATATCTTCTGGTTTATGGAGAAAAGATTTTAAACCCGCTGATTGAGAGCATTAAGGTTTATCCCCAGGAAAATGATGAGTGCCATGTATGGTTGGTGTATTAGTCGATCATCTTTGGTTGCAAGTGAAAGGATACATGAAGGGCTAGAACACTTTTAGGCTTCTGGAAGCCAGGGAAACCAGAATGCAGAACCAGAAAGCTCCAGATACCAGGAAGTATTTTTTCTTCATGTTTTCTGTCTCCATGTATCTATTTCCTTTTTCTATCTCTTAGCTTACTAACTGGCTTTACTTCTCAGACATCCTAATATAATGATAGAATAGGGCTACCACTTATTTCCCAAATTTACATGTTATCGTTCCTTCCACTTGTAAAGACTACTGGACTATCTTTTGTCCCGTTCTAAGTTCCTGGAGGAAAAGAATGAGGATTTAGGTCAGATGTCCACCCTGACATCTGGAACCTACTAACGGATGGTCACTTCCTGCAAGTAAGGCTGCTAGGGTCCCAGCTTTGTAAAAGAGGGGATAATTTGAACCTCATGGACTGGAATTTCCTGTTACATACATGGTCTTTGAACTGTCTAGAGAGTTCCCAGCGCAGGAAAATCAGATTAGACTCATGCTAAAATTGTATGTTTTTTTTTTAATTTGATTGATATCACAAATGCATTGGTTTGACTGTTTTGTAGTATTACACTCTTGTTGCTAATACAAACGACAGCTTACAGCTCCTTTCTCCATTCATTTAAAATGGAAATGGAAATGGCCTTGAACAATCATCAAGTGTTCAGATCAGTGATTGTCTGAACCCTTCAGGGGAGATATAAGCTCTCCTTAAAGAAATCCAGGAAAAGAAACTACAACCATTCTTTAGTGACCTATTCAACTTTTTTTTTTTTTTTTTTAATCATGCTTTGGCTTTGAAAACAGAGCTGTGTAATTTTAGGAACCTAGAATTAAATTATTGACCTAGTATAGACCCACCTCAACCAAACCAAATACAATGAAGGACTTTTCTATTCCTCAGCAACTTCTAAAAATAAGGCCCATAATACTGAAACAACATGTACTTCTTTTTAGTTGCTTTCTGTTTCATACCACCAGTATCTTCTTTTTTTTTTTTTTTTAAGATTTTATTTATTTATTTGACAGAGAGAGAGATCACAAGTAGGCAGAGAGGCAGGCAGAGAGAGGGAAACAGGCTCCCTACTGAGCAGAGAGCCCGATGCAGGACTCGATCCCAGGACCCTGAGGTCATGACCTGAGCCGAAGGCAGCAGCTTAACCCAGTGAGCCACCCAGGCACCCCCACCAGTATCTTCTTACTTATCTGTGTGACTGTGATACAGCTCTCAGGCCTTCGGAATAAGATTGAAATTTCAGCTGCTTAATCTCGAAGAAATAAATATCTCTGCCCTGTCTTGAAAGACTTTTAAAGAAGATTCTTCATCGTTTCCTCTACTGCCCACTGCCACATACTCCTGTGTTTGTCCACATTCTGTGTATAAGAAAATGAGGTGGCACCTTGAATTTGTTCTGATATGCCATGGATCATAGCTGGTGACTGAGCTAGGACCAGAATTCCTACTTTCTGATTTCCAGTCTGGTGCTCTTTTTGAACAGTCTTTCCCCTACCCCTTTTCTTTACAATTTTATTTTAAGAGAGAGAGAAAAAGACCATGATTAGTGGGGGGGGGGGGTACAGGGAGAGGGAGAAGCAGACTCCCTGCTGAGTAGGGACGCCTGCCATGGGGCTCAATCCCAGGACCCTGAGATCATGACCTGAGCCTACTGAGCCACCCAGGTGCCCCTGCACAGTCTTACAAGGAGAAAAGGATCAGGCTATGCTATTCAACTATAATTATTCCCATTTTAAAGATGAAAAAACTAAGATTCCAAGAGGTTAGATATATTGCTTTGGTCATACTAGTAAGTAGTCTAACTTAGTTAAGAGTAGTAATTATACAGCTGACTTCACACTTCAGAGCCAAGATTAGGATTTCTCTTGAATTTTAGTCTAATATTCCTCCCTTCAGAGGTGGTTGAGGGTTGAGATCACTCTTGAGGTCTGTGTGTCAGGGCACCGTGTCTGCCTCCCATCTATCCTGGTACACGGGCCTCCCTGTAGTGCTCAGTGCTTTGTTGCCCTTTTCCTGTGGACAGCCTGATGTCTGGGCATGCCCAGGAAAGCTTTACACAGAATCCATTTTGACCCAAACATCATGAACCCACCACTGTGTTTTCCTATGTCTCCTATCACTGATGCCGCCATTGCAATTAAGAAAGCTACACACAGGTTCAAATTTTAACCAGTGGCTTATACTTAAGTCTCAAATTCAAGTAGGTTAGATAGTTTTTTTATTTTGCTTTCAATCTAGGACAGAAAAAAGGCCAGTAGTAGAGAACAGGACATACATGTGGTCCAGAGAAGGTGTATTTGTAAATGGAAAGACAAACTGTAGATACTGGGTTGATAATAATTAACCTTTTCAACACATTGGTATTTCCAGAACTCCTGGGAAAATATTTACTGTATTTTCTTACAACTTGGCTTTTAAGCTTTCCAGTAGTTCTTTGCCCAACCAAGAAATTTCCTCACCCTGATCTTCCCGTTTGTTTATTCAGTGAATATTTACTGAGTACTCGCCATGAGTTAGACAGTCTAGATAACAGTTGTGAATGAGACAGACATAAATTATTAATTATAAGCATGATAAATGCTGTAGAGGGAAGTATAAGCTGCTATTAAATTATTAATAATAATGGGGGAGGGAGAAGAATTGAAAGTCAGAAAAGGCTTTCTGAGGGAATTCTATATTATTCAGCTGAGCCTGAAGAATGAAGAAGAAATAGACATGTAGGACAGGAGAATGGAAGGAAGCATTCCAGGCAAAGGGAAGAGCATGTCTGAACCCTCAGAGGCAAGTAAGAGCTTGTCTCCTTTGAGGAGCTAAGCAGCAGTCAGGCTCAAGAGGGTACTTCCCAGAGGAAAAGAGCCACATGTTGGAGAAGGAATTTCTTTTTCTTCTTAGAAATTATTGACTAAGAATTAATATTTCTGGAAAAAAATTATAATATTGCTGACCCATTGTTATTCCCATGGCATAAGAGAGAGAGTGGCCGTGGTTCAAGGGTGGTGCTGTGGGGAGGAGTAGAAGCCAGTAGCTAAGAGGGAGGCTGGGGGAGGTGGGGAGGGTTCTGAGGTGACTCTGATTCTGGGGCTTCTATCTCCTCAGGCCTGAAGACCATTGTGGGTGCCCTAATCCAGTCAGTGAAGAAGCTGTCAGATGTGATGATTCTGACAGTATTCTGCCTGAGTGTTTTTGCTTTGATTGGACTGCAGCTGTTCATGGGCAATCTGCGAAACAAGTGTGTTGTGTGGCCCATAAACTTCAACGAGAGCTATCTGGAAAATGGCACCAAAGGCTTTGATTGGGAAGAATATATCAACAATAAAAGTAGGTGGCCCCTTCTCTGCAAGGAGCGAAAGACAAGTCTGTCTCTAATTTACATGGTCTAAAGCCATCACTGGGCTTTGAAAAGTCGTTGGGGCCAGAAAGGAATCCAGGGCTACTGAAGCAGCCTGAGGAAGTTATTCCCTGTTCTTGGGGTAGGATTGCGTTCAGAAGCGCTCTCTGGGCTTTTTCTCTTCCTTTAAAACACAACATGGAACTTTGTAACTTTTTCACAGGCACCTAAACTTTTGTTTTCAAAATCAGGTTTAGGAGTTTGATAAAAATACCTTTTGCTTAGGAATTATTGATAAAAATACCTTGTAGTTGGGTTACCTCAGATGGTTCAGAATATGCCTCATAAGCTCTCTTCATATTACTAAGACCTTAGCAGTCAGTCCAGGACGTGAGGTAATCTCTAAGTAACCATTTGAGCCCCTTATATTGAAGGAGTTTTAATAATTTCATTTCGGGAACCACAGCACTTGGGTCTGCAGTAAGGAACATTTGGTATGGTAGTACTTCCAAAGAATAATGGGGAAGAGTTAGCAATATCACTACTCATCACCCTGGAGGAACTAAAGGCAGTTAAGTAGCCACAGGAAAGTGTTGCAAAGGTAATTTCAGGAACACATATAGGAAAAGGAAACGTGCCTTCTAATTAATACAGGACAGTGTAATGTGATCAGTGAGGGTTTTAGCTTATCTTTGGTAAAGAGAAGTTTTAAGGATAGAAGGCTAAGGTTGTATAGAGGAGTAAAGTATTCAGAAAACCCCCTTTCAGACCCCTTAGACTGAAGTACCAGAAACTAGCATATAGATTTGAAATACGAGTGGAGGTCAAGGGTCTGTGAAAAGACATTGCATTACAGGAGTGTGGGAGCACTTTTCATTTGTAAGTATATATAAGAAAATAATTAATGGGTAAGAATTCTTAACAGGTCTTACTCTGTCAGGAAAGATTTATATGAGCTAAAATCAATGACTGTTTCTGCCGGGGCTAGTTAGGAACAATGTAACCTTATTCTCTCCTTCAGTTAAATCTGCCTTATTTATTTCTTGCTCTTCAAACTTTTCTAGCAAATTTTTACACAGTTCCTGGCATGCTGGAACCTTTGCTCTGCGGGAACAGTTCTGATGCTGGGTAAGTAGCTCGCCTAATTATATTCTTCTCCTTTAAAATAATGTGTCAGGTGAAAATGGGGAGTATTTTCACTTTTCTTTGTGCTCGTGTAGTAGATCCTAACTGGGTCTGACATATTGGTTGGCTCAGATTTTCTTCTTGTTTCATATTTGTCCATCCAAATATGGCATTTCTCTAGTAGGTGAATGTGCCTATAGTCTCAAGCCAAAATAAAAAATGTGAAAGGCTGAGGATAGAGTCTATAAGACCAGATACCTTGCTTGTCTCTTGTAGACTCCCCTCATTCTGATTATAACATGATTAATAAAATATAAAGTAGGGAAACTGTCTTCATGATGGATTAGTAGCAAGGATGACCCAAAACATACCAGGCCTGATGGCATGGGAAGGGAACAGAATAGCAACATAATATATTTTTCCATTTTTAAAAAAGATTTTATTTATTTATTTACTTACTTACTTACTTACTTACTTATTTGAGAGAGAGAGAGAGAGAGTGCCCACAAGCAGGGGGAGGGGGATGAAGCAGGCTTCCTGCTGAGCATGGACCTGAAGTGGAGCTGGATCCCCAGACCCTGGGGTCATGACCTGAGGTGAAGGCAGCCGCTTAAACAACTGAGCACCCAGGTGTCTCCTTTTTCCCCCATTTTTAAGAAATCCTGGTAAAATATGTAGAGCATAAGATTTAGTCTTACAACCATTTTTAAGTGTCCTGTTCAGTGTTGTAGAACCGTCACCACCATCCATCCACCGCACTTTCCATCTTCCCAAACTGGGACTGTACCCATTAAACACTAACTTCCCATTTTCCCTTCCCCTCCCAGTCCCCTAGTGACCTTGGTTCCAGTTTCTGTCTCTGATTTTGATTGCTCTAAGTGCGTCTTGTAAGTGGATCATGCAGGAATCGTCTTTTTGTGACTGGCCTCTTCCACTTTGCATGATGTCCTCAAGGTTTACCATGTGACAGCATATATCAGAATTTCCTTCCTTTTAAGGCAGAATGACATTCCATTGTCTGTATATGCCACATTTGTTTATCTATTCATCTGTCAACAGACACTCGCGTTACTTCCATATCTTAGTTATTGTGCATAATGCTGCTATGAACACAAGTTTATAGCAACATAATGTCAATCTTAATTCTGCTACCTTTAGCTCTGAGACTTTTGGGAAGCCTTTCAACTTAGGTGAGCCTCAGTTTCTTCATCTATGAAATGGATTTAATATGTCTTGTTCTCACTTCCTCAAAGGTTTATTGTAATGATCCAATTAGATAACATACATGAAAGTGCTTTGTAAACAGAAAATTATATAAATGTAAGGGTGTCACTTTATCCAGAGTATATTGGTCCTCTAGGAATTAGTGTTTTAAGATGACTACGACAACTAGAAGTCCGTTTGATTTCTGTATCAAAGTAGATACTAGAAATTACATTGAAATAAATAGCAGGTGAGTCTAAAAGCAGGAAAACTGATAAAACCAAAGTCACTGAAATCCCCAGTATGACATAGGTTGTCATTAAGGCTGACTATTAAGAGAACAGATATGATTAAGAGGAACTTCTAGCTGGCCCCAAATTCCTGTCATTTGAGATCTTAGCTAAGATGAATTTGGTTGAATTGCACATTGATGTGAATGTAGGACAGTGATTCTCAAATTTTGGCATGCATAAACATCACCTGGCATGCCTCTTTAAAATGCAGATTCGTGACTTCCATGTCCAGAGCTTTTGTTCCTGGGTCTGAGTAGGGCATAGGAATCAGCATTTTTAGGAGGCATGCCCAATGATTCTGATCCTAGGCTCTTTTCAGAATGTCTTTTTTTTTTTTTTTAAGTTGACCTGACTAGGAATGCCTCAGTGGCTTATGCAGCTGAGTGTCTGCCTTTGGCTCAGGTCTTGATCTCGGGGTCATGGGATCAAGTCCAGCATCCAGCTCCTTGCTTGGTAGGGAGCCTGCTCTCACTCTCCCTGTCACTCCCCCTGCTTGTGCTCTCTTTCCCTCTGGCAAATAAATAAAATCTTAAAAAAAAAAATAAAATAAGGGGCGCCTGGGTGGCTCAGTGGGTTAAGCCGCTGCCTTCGGCTCAGGTCGTGATCTCAGGGTCCTGGGATCGAGCCCCGCATCGGGCTCTCTGCTCAGCAAGGAGCCTGCTTCCTCCTCTCTCTCCGCCTGCCTCTCTGCCTGCTTGTGATCTCTGTCTGTCAAATAAATAAATAAAATCTTAAAAAAATAATAAAATAAAATAAAATAAAATAAAATAGTTGACCTGACTACTTTCTTCTTTCTTTTCTTCCCTTCCCTTTCCTTCCTTCCTTCCTTCTTCCTTTCCTTTCTTCCTTCCTTTTTCCTTTCCTTTTCCTTTCCTTTTCCTTCCTTTCCTTTCATTTCCTTTTCTTTCCTTTCCTTTTTCTTCCTTCCCTTCCATTTCCTTCCTTCCTTCCTTCCTTCTCTGACTTTCTAGATGGTTACTTATTATCTCCACAGTCCTGGAGATGACTTAAAGTTGATGATTGGGTGGAATTATATTGAGAAACCCTGAACTTCCTTTCTTTTCTCAGGCAATGCCCAGAGGGATACCAGTGTATGAAAGCGGGAAGGAACCCCAACTACGGTTACACAAGCTTTGACACTTTCAGCTGGGCCTTCTTAGCATTATTTCGCCTTATGACCCAGGACTACTGGGAAAACTTGTATCAGTTGGTAAGTAGTAACACCTCTTCTTTTGAGTGCTGCCTTTTATTTCTTTGGTGACGGAATTCGCATGAGGGTTTGTGGGTTTGGAGACATTCTGTGTAAGAGACCTTCAGTGAAGATATTATATAGGATGGCAGGATATTATTTCTCAGAGTCACCCAGTTTACAAAATTCAGTGAATTCTCCCAGCTCTTGTCCCGGTTTCTTGAGTAACCAGTCACATATGGCCATAGAGGTTCACAGCCTTGACAGCCTTTTGCCTGGTCTGGGAATCTGCTATCTCTGTTTACTTCCTATTGTTCCAACAGACCACCTGCAGTATTTCTCTTCTCAGATTTTTGGCTGAGGGCATCTTTTTAAGGAATATCTATTAAACATACTGTACAAGGCGCTATACTAGACATAATAAAGATGAGATTTCTATCCACAAGGATCTTGGATTCTCAACGTATCAACATTTGTGAGATCTGTAACACATCTGAACTAGTTCAGGCAGGTTTTAACAGATTAAAAAAAAGAAAGGTCTACCATTTTGTTGGGCTATCTTGGTGATTGTAGCAAGTCATTTAAATTTGCTGTTGGTGATGGAGAAGTAAGTCTAGGTGATTGCTAAGGGTCATCCAGCTTAGAAATTCCATGATAACTCATTGTTTTCTATTTGACTCTGTCTTTTGGTGATGCCAGTTTGAGAATGAGAAACATGTCTCGCTTAGGCATGAAGGACCTCTTGAAGAGAAGCTTCTAATTTTCAGATCCCATAAGGAATCCTTGCTTTCTGTTGGATAGCCTTGAGTTCTCTTAGGTTCCAGTCTTTCTCTTGAAATATTTGTGGTCAATACTAAGTTCCATTAAATATTTGTGATTAAAAAGAATAACACTGAAAACTAAGTAATAGTGGGTCACATATACATAACCTAAAACCCAAGTGTTCTTTGATGTCTGTTTGCTCACTACTAGTGAAGGGGATAGTCCTAGGATCTTCTTTTTCTCTACTGTTCTTTATGCCTCTTTAAAAATCCACCCTATTACAGAAGGATAAGGAAGGATGTCACTCAAGCTGGGGACTTTTTTGTGACTTGGACCTGATTCCTAAGATGGAATTTGTCTATTAATGCTCTTTGAGGACCCGTAGATAAATGAGCTGAAGTCCTGTATTCTTTTCTTTATACTTGTTTTAGAACCAACTAACAAAGTCAAATATAATTCTTAGCTCAGAGCATTTTTTCCTCCTAAAAAAAAAAAAAAAATTTTTCCTTTAAAAAAAGGAATCAAGTATTTTTCCATGAAAGGAGTATATTGGGAGTATTTGGAAATGAAGATCATTTTTTCTGTCACAATGAATGGGAGGTACTAGTGACATTTACTCTTGAGTTGAGGACAGACAAAGCCATTTGGCCATTGGGATGCTAAGTGCTCTGCAGCATGAAGGCTCACCACGCAGTAAAGGACTGTTCTCAAAACACAGCGGTGCCCCTGCAGGGGATAATTATCCCACGAGTGGTTTTCAGCCTGCTTCACTGGATGCACATGACTCAGAAAATTGTTTCTGTCTTTACAGACCTTACGAGCAGCTGGGAAAACATACATGATATTCTTCGTCTTGGTCATCTTTGTGGGTTCTTTCTATCTCGTGAACTTGATCTTGGCTGTGGTGGCCATGGCTTATGAAGAGCAGAATCAGGCAACACTGGAGGAGGCAGAGCAGAAAGAGGCTGAATTCAAAGCGATGTTGGAGCAACTTAAGAAGCAACAGGAAGAGGCACAGGTTGGGGATCAGTTCTTTGCTACAGTAACTTCCTGCCAGATCACAGTGACTAAGGCTCCATCTGATTGTCATTCCAGTTGATCTTTTTTAGGCACATGGTCAAATAGAAGTCATTAATCTGATTAAAATAACCCAAGTAACAACTTGCAGATGGTTGGTCCAGTTACTCCATTTGTCTTAGTGGCCCAGTTGTTTGTTAATATGATCTCTAGTGTTCACTGCTCTGGTGGCTGGGGGACGACAAGTGGCCAGAGTAGGGTATATAGTGTCTCATGTAAGCACAGCCTTTTTGTTGAGGAAATCATTAGGATCTCCTTCAGAGATTCTCTGCAGTCATGAAAGTATTGGTTGTACTTGAAAAGAAAACACATGTAAAATGGTAACATAAGATTTCAAAAACAGACTAGTGATCCCACCACCCTAACACTTTGCTGTCTGATCCTTATCCAGATATACAAGTGTTTTTATAGTGTTGGGCGTGTAATGTATAATATAGTTTCACAGCATTCATCTTCAGAGTTGCCCAGAAGAAATCTTGTGGTACCAAGAAGGCAGCTAAGTTCTTGTGTGAGAAACTCAAGAGAATAAATCCCAGAGTTCTCATCACTGGTTTCTGCTCTGATTGCCTAAGGCCATGTGCTACAACACAGATTAGCCAGAAAATGGAGATGGCAGATCCTGGCCACAGTCTCCTCTGCAGGCTGCTTCACCTTCCTCCTTCCCTCTGTTTCCCCCATCTGTGGGAAAGGAAATGATCCGCACTAGTTGCTTGGCTTGGGGTGGGGGTGGGAGGCTCCAGTTAACTGCTTCTGACTGGCCTGTCACTGTGGCTCCTCCCCTAGGCCGCTGCCATGGCCACCTCCGCAGGCACTGTCTCAGAAGATGCCATCGAGGAAGAAGGTGAAGAAGGGGCAGGCTCTCCTCGCAGCTCCTCTGAAATATCGAAACTCAGTTCCAAGAGTGCCAAAGAAAGGCGTAACAGGAGGAAGAAGAGGAAGCAGAAGGAACTCTCTGAAGGAGAGGAAAAGGGGGATCCTGAGAAGGTGTTTAAGTCAGAGTCAGAAGATGGTATGAGGAGGAAAGGCTTTCGGCTGCCAGACAACAGAATAGGGAGGAAATTTTCCATCATGAATCAGGTAAACTCTTTGCACGGGATCAAATAAACCTAAGGAATTCTACTTTTCCTAATCTCACTTGATTCTCACATTCACCATTGGCTCTTCATTTTTGAGCCCCTTCTCTGCATCCTCTGGCCTACCTCTCCATAGAGGTGGGTGTTACAGGTGTGTTAGGATGGTCCTCTGCTCTAAGGCTGCCCCCTGCAACCACCAGGCTGGCCCTTGGACCACGTGATTGCCTATGGCAGACTTACTTTAGCCAGAAGATCCATGTCACTCCAATGGGCCTTCCATTCTAAAACTTCAGGAAGCACCTTTCTCCTTAAAGCTCAGAACAGCAGAATTTAGCTTTCAAACATCTCTGCTTGAGAACTGCATGTTTAAAAAAAAAAAGAAGAAGAAGAAGAACTGCATATAATTGTAGGTTAAAAAAAAAAGAGTCCTGAAACTCTTTAGGTCACCTTATTTGAGTGTGGCAAATTCTAGTAATTAATTATTCTAGGTATATGGTGTCATGCTGATAAATTAGCCTATGGTGGATTAAAGCCTCCAGTTGTAGCCAACTTTGATAAATGGGGAAACTAAGAGGAAGAGAGAGGAGAGGACTTATGGATAATTACTGAGCATTCTGTTACTATAAATATCACCACATAACACCTATTTTTGGATTTCAAAGAACACCACCAAAATCCAGTTCTTAGTCCATTTAATTCCCCATTTTAAGGAAATGCTAGAAAGTTTGTAAGGTATAGAGTAGATTACAGTTAGCAGTTTTATGGTAGTGTACCCAGTGTCTCTTCTTATTTCTAGGAGATGCTTCATTGTGCCTCTCCCTGGTATCTCTCACTTCCCAGTTCATTCTCTGCTAGTCCTGTTTACTTTATCACAGCAGAATTTCTCGTGTCATCCCCTTCCTTCTATCCTATTATTCCTATCTTAGTTGAGACCTTTGTATTTTTCATTCTCCTGCAGTTAACTACTGCATGTTTGTTTCCTCTGATCTTTCTCCCTCTCCTTCATGTTTTCTATACCGTTGACAGAGCGCTTCTTAGTAAAACAGAGCTCTCATTATTTACCCCCAAGAAGTCATGTAGTCCCTGCCATGCACTAGGGATTGTGACAGGTCCTAGAGATTCATGGGGGTTCAAACACCATCCCTGTAGTGGAGTGGCCACTGAAATTTATTTCTGTAATAGCAGCGATGGTTCCATATTGTTCCATAATTGCACTAGGCTGGAGTATTTTAGAGAGCACAGATCTAACACAACTAAATGGGAATTAGTCAGGTAATGTATGCATGTGTTAGTGAGGGAGCAGGAGGACAGAAGAAAAGACATTCCAGATTTGGAAGAAAGTAAATTCCGGTGTGGACACCCCAAGCTCGAATCACAAGTAGAGTGGTCTTTTAGACACCCACATAGGTAAATGATGGCTTTTGTAAGAGGTCCTGAGGTGAGAGATGGTGGTTGGAACTGTTAGACTTGATTAGATACTCAAAGAGGTTGTGTGAGGTAAAGAAAGGAATGGTGGGCTAGGGGCACAACCACGGATATCCGTGGGCATCAGAGATGAAGCTCATGCAGGAAAACAAATGAATGGTCATTAGAGGTGCTGAGAGCCAGTTCAGTGAAGCCCAGAGAGCACAAAGGTTGAAGAAAGCAGGGGAGTGATCAGTGGATTGAAATTTAACAGAAAGGCGTCATGAGCTCAGAACTGGAAATATGTCCTGGATTTGGCAATATAAGTCCTTGAGAACTTTAAAGACACATTTCAATCTAGGAGAAGGATGGATACCATATGGAAGTGGAATGGGAAGTGAAGACAGTGAGTGTAGACTTCTCATACAGACTTCTTTAAAGAATATGCGGGAAATGATTTTTATAATCTGGGTGGGGAGCCCAGAGGAAGGGGAAGTAGAGGTAGAAAATGGAGTAGTACAGAAAAGAAGTGGAGCGCAGGCTTAGCAGATGTGAAAATAGATGTAGTCTTTAACAGGAAAGGGGCCCCTCATCCCCAGATGTCAGGATTATAGGGGAGGGTGGGTGTAGATAAGTTTGTAGGTAGGAGGTAGGAATTTGAGGAAGATGACACTGGACAGTATCTAGTATACAGTAATACAGGAAATTCAAAGTCCTACCGAAGGGAGTGAGAGATTGAGTAGGAGGTTTAAAGAAAATATTGACAGTGTGGAATAGTTATCACGAAGAATGGAAGAGGGAATTACCTGATCAGATTCACTCTGTCTACTGATGAAGGACCAGCCTCTCCTGGCCTCCTCAGTCCCCAGTCACTGTGCGCTGTCAGGCACCCTGCACTTACACCAGAATGAACTGCTAGATGCTTCTCGTATACGAGGTTTGTTTCCTACCCTTGGTTTTGCTCCAGAAAGCCCCTCTCTAAGATGTCCTACTTTTCTCTCTCTCTCAATGTCCACACCATACCACCATATTTACTTTTCATATCCTTCTCTCAGAAAACCTTCCCGATCTCCCCCATTCCACACTTGGTTGGACATTACCATTTCATCTTTCCATTATGTTTTATACATACCTTATGTGTTGCTCTTTACTCTGCTTGGACTCGCATTCTTTATCTCTTAGACAAAATGCTCAAGGCGGGGCCTGCATATGGCTAGCGTTCAGATATTTGTTGGACAAATGAAGGGGGGAGTTTTATAAATCTGATTTCACCCCTTCTGGGACTTCTTTGTGGCCTGGAACCAGCTCTCTGTCTCACCTTCACCTCACCTTTCTCATAATTCAGCCTCTTTTGGGGAAAAGTGTGATTCAGCTTTGTTGTCAGCCAACCCTTGTCTTGAGAGCCATCACTGAGCTAGTTAATGAATACCTTAGTGCGGTTATTGAATGGTCTCTGATTAATCTATAGGCTTTAGCACAGAGTTGCACTGATTGCTCCCTAGCTCAAAAAATAAAACTGGGCCTCTGAAATGTCCTGCTTTGCATGAAAATGTTCACTTCCTCTCATTTCTCCATCTGAAAAAAACTGTAGATTCCTAGAGGCCATGGCTGTCTGCCAAGACTTGCTGAGAAACCCCACATGGAAGTCATATTCTTTGTCCCAGGACTCTTCTGCCATTTCTCTGGTTTTATCTGGAAGAATGAGGAAACTGAGGCCCAGAGAGATTAACTAACTCATCTAAGGTCGTGTGGCTAGTAGATGTTAGAGTCCGGATTTGAACCAGGTCCTTTAGACTACAGAGCTTGTACTCCTGAACACTACGGTTTGTAGCCACCCCTCCCCACTCACCCTCACACATACACCCCTCCCCACTCACCTCCACACGTACACCCCTCCCCAGTCACCTCCACATGTACACCCCTCCCCAATCACCTCCACACATACATGACTATCTCTTGTTGGCTCACCAGCAAACGTGGCTTCCATTTCCCATGGCCTGTTCAAGTGTATGTCCATTTCCTTTATGTCCATATCTTCAGAGAGCCCCTTAAGTCATCTGCCTACCCCATCTCCTATTCAGTTCTCTATAAAATTACTGCTATGGTTTTAGGGCTTAGGACAGTTCATGAAAAGTAAGTATTATCAGTTTTTCATAGTATTTTAATTTTTCCACTGCAGCATTTCTCAAGTTTTTTGATCTTAGGACCCCTTGCTATCCTTAAAAATTGAGGACCTTGGGGCATCTGGGTGGTGTGGTCGATTGATTGCCCAAAGTTTGGTTTCACCTCAGGTTGTGATCTCAGGGTTATGGGCTCAAGCCTTGTGTCCAGTTCAGCACGAAGTCTACTTAAGACTCTCTCTCTATGCCTCCCCCTCATATTTTCTTGCTTGCTCACTCTCTTTAAAACAAATAAATCTTTTAAAAATAAATAAATAAAAATCCTTTGCTGTGTTAGCACCATAGATCTTTAACTCATGAATGATTTGTAGTATCCTGCATTTGGAAAATAGATGGGATCATCTGGGAAATACTGGTTCACTAAGTTACACAGATCTTCCAAGTACTGACACACAGTATTTAAAAAATCGCATAAATTATTATCATGACCAGCTCATCAGAAAAGTCTAAATACTGTGAAACTGTCAGGCTCTCAGAGTCCACTCTATACTTATGAGAAAATGAAAGTGAGAAAGGCAGATATCATTTTAGTATTATTGTGAAATAGTTTTGACCTCTTGAGCCCCCTTAAAAGGATCACAGGACCCCCAGGAGTCCCTAGGCCGCACTTTAAGAATAACTGCTGTTTGGGGAAGAAAAAGTGAAGTGAAGAAAAAGTGAAATATGACATGACAGAGAACATTTAAATCACTAATTTATCCCATCCTAATCTTCCCAGTCACTGTTAAGCCTTGTCCCAACAGACGACTGACATGGATGCCCTAAAATCCTCAGTTAGTTTTTCTGTGGGAAAATAGGAGGGCCACCTCCTCAAATCAAGAATACCCTTGAGCTATTCTCCCAAGCAAATGCCTGGACCTTGGGTAGTATATTTAGTGAGCTGTGATGTGCCTGCTTGAAAAGGACCAGAAGCTCCTGATGGGTGAATGGCTAAGACCCATGCATCTATAGCCTGGATCCCAGGAGCTAGTAGAGCTCAGGGTCCTGAGTCATCACTGAAACCCTCCAGCCCAGGGACGGTGAGACCGAGGAGAGGCTGGGGTGGCTAACCTCAGGACGTATTTCCTTGGAGAATAGACTAGAGCAGGATTGAATTCTGGGTCCAAGGAGAGGTACAACGAATTCTCTTTTCCCCTCCCACACTTACCACAGGCAACCCTTTCGCCAAGAATGGAACAGGGGATTAAAGAATAATAGATTATTTTCTTTTAGCATTATTGTCTCAGGATCCTGATTTCTGTGCATTTGTAGGTCACTGAATTGATCATTATCTTACTTATCACTTTCCTATCAGTTAGGAATAGATCTCATATAGTATATATATTTCTGACTAGGCTGCAAGGTGCAAGAAGGCGGGGACCGTGCTGTATGTCTTCTTTATGACTGTATCTACATCATTTAGTATACACTAGGTATTTAATGATCATTTGTCAAATAAATGAAACCTCTTTCCTAACGTGGAGACCTAATGTACTGTGTAGTGTCAGCAGCCAGCATTGGCTTAATGCAAAATCCAGGAAAGTGAACTTCTATGAAAAGTGAGGCAGTGACCCAGTGCAGGTGTGGGGTAATGCCCAGGTGTAGGTGGCCAGTTTACAGCATATAATCTAAATACACATTCATGAAATTGAACACTGCACCTACGATCTACAAAGCCCTCCAGGAGATAAAAAGATGAATCAGGCAGTGTGTCCTTAAAGAGCCTGTAGTTGGTTAAAAAGGAGAGCTCAAAGCAGGTATATAAAGAACTGTAGTTAAAAGTAGAGTGCAAGGACTCTGAAACAGAGGCTGGGGCTGTGGAAGGGTGGGGGAGGTTTACAGAGGAAGAAGCTGAAGCGCTGGACCATGGACAGTGGCGAGGAGTTCTGCAGCGGGAAGTGTAGAGCATAGAGACCCACAGTGTTGCTCTGTGGTTGGGTCTCTGCAGGGAAAGAGTGAAAGATAAAATGGAAGAAGTTAGTTACGGTCAAAGCTGGGAGGATCCTGAAGGACATTTTTAGGACAATGATTGATGATATTAAGTACGCTCATGGGATTTAGCAAAGGCACCCAAGAGTTACTGAGTCTTGTTCAGTCTTGTCCTGACCATATTTCTCCCTAGTGAGCCCTGCAAGGGAGATACATGTGCCCAAGGCACTGTTACTAACATCTAACACAGAACCTCAGAACCTTACACTGAACTGAACACATGGGTAGAAGCTCAAAGATATTTCCTATCCCCCTACCCTGCCATCCAATCTTGGGATCTTACTGTATTTTTTTTTTTTTTTTAGATTTTATTTATTCATTTGAAAGAGAGAGAGACAGAAAGCATGAATGAGGCAGAGGGAGAGGGAGAAGCAGACTCCTCGCTGAGCTGGGAGCCTGACATGGGCCTCAGTCACAGGACCTGGAGATCATGTCCTGAGCCACCCAGGTGCCCCAAGGGATCTTATTGTCTTAATCATTGTTTTAATTTTCTGTGTATTATGATGCTTTGACATTTTAGGAGCCTTGGTAACTGGGGAGAGACTTTCCTCCCAGTGCAAACTTAATTCCTAGACAGTGAACAACTTGTCTGAAAGTGGGCCTTTCATCTACAAATCAACCAATCCAAACCCTCAGCCCCAACTTTTTATCTAACGCTCACACATCAAGACACAGAAAACCAGTGTTTCCTCTGCCCTCAGTCACTCTGAGGGCCAGGTATTGGACAGCTAGGACCACTCCTATAGACCAGAGCCTGCTGAAATTACTCAAACCACCTGATCCTAAACTTGTCAGATATGCCTACTCTGCCTCAGCCATTCCTTCTGAGGAAACCATCAAGCAGGCTCTGAACCATGCTTTTTCCCTGCTCCTTTTGCCTCCTAACTGACCCTAGTACCTCCCCATGAGGTCCTGCCTGGCATGGGATGGCATGCCCCCTTCTTTTGAGAGCTGTAAGTAATAAACTCCTCCAAAGGTAGCTGTCTCTGTGTCTATCACCTTACCATTTCTCATTAGAACAAAAAAGGTACAATAGCAAGGTTTTGCCTTTGGCATAGCACATTGCCCTGAGGTATAAAAATTTAGGGGATGGGGACGCCTGGGTGGCTCAGTTGGTTGGACTACTGCCTTCGGCTCAGGTCATGATCCCGGAGTCCCGGAATCGAGTCCCGCATCGGGCTCCCAGCTCCACGGGGAGTCTGCTTCTCCCTCTGACCTTCTCCTCGCTCATGCTCTCTCTCACTGTCTCTCTCTCAAATAAATAAATAAAATCTTTAAAAAAAAAATTAGGAGATGCCAGTCAAGGGACAATTGGAAACATTAGTGTCGGGGCACCTGGGTTGCTCAGTGGGTTAAGCCTCTGCCTTTAGCTCAGGTCATGATCTCAGGGTGCTGGGATCTAGCCCCAAATTGGGCTCTTTGCACAGTGGTGAGCCTACTTCCCCCCTCCCTCTGCCTGCCTCTCTGCCTACTTGTGATCTCTCTCTCTCTGTCAAATAAATAAATAAAATCTTAAAAAAAAAAAAAAGAAAACATTAGTGTCTTTAAGTTTTCTTAAACCCAGCAAATTTAAATCCATTGTAAGGCTTTCTGAATTTACCTATCTTATATTCAGGGCCTTTGGGGATTTTAAATTCAGGAGTGGAGTAGATGACACTTGGATACATATTAGTATATTTATTAAAAAAGAAAAATAAGTTCATAATTTCTCAATTAAGAGAAGTCTGATTTGGCCAATTGCTTTGACAATGAGAACTGGCTTTGCTAACCTATATCATATGGTAGACATTTTTGTAAATAAAATGAGCTGAATCTTTAGCTTTAAGGTTTTGGTGAAAATATCTTTAAAGCATGTAGTAAGATAAAATTATTTTATTAAAAAATTAATGTTGGAAAAAAATTAACAGTGGCAGTGATGTATTAAAATTAATGATATTTTGGTTATTCCAACCATTTCTTTTGGGTTAAATAAGGTTCCTCTAAGTAAAAGAATAACCTCTTTAAGAGTAACCCATATTTTTATTAGTAAATAAAAATGAAGCCTTTTTGGCATCCTCAGAAATCAAGAAATGGAATACTTCTAACAAAGAGGTAACAAATCATTTGGCAGATTGGGTGGTTTGCGGTTCTCTGCTTTCAATAAAGTTGAAAGACTACCCGATATGATTGTCAGCCAGTAGATCATTAGGATAAATTTTGCTGATAGCTTATTATGTGATTCTGGTAATCATTTGAAAGGAGATGGAAGAATTGAGTGACATTACTATAACCAAATTCTTCTGTTCCAAGATACTATTTATGTGAATAGAGTTTCTCAGCACTTAAAATCTATATTAGATAGGGAAGGGAGAGCTGATATTGAGCCATATTTGAATCTAATAATAATACTGTCTACAAAAACACCAATTGGAAAAGAACTCATTAAGAGACACATTTTAATAAAATTTTCTTTTAAGCTTAGTAATTACTTATAAAATGTATAATATCTGTATATATCTTGATCAATTTTATTAATAAGAATTATAATAAAATCTGAGAGAATTTTTTAAAAATTCTAAGAGACTCATGGTCACAGAAAATTTTTTTTAATTTTAAGTACAGTTTATTTATAACTTTTTGTTGAAGAAAATTGTTGATCAAAGGTGATCAATAAAATATAGTAAAGCATAAAAAATATACGTTAGCATACAATTCTCTAGGGAATGTGGAATTGGAAGTATGGGTTGAAAGAGAAAAAGAAATGAGAAATTTGTGAGTGATAAATAAAAGTTTTATTTTAAAATGTCAGTGCAGGGGCACCTGGGTGTCTCCATCAGTTGAGCATCTACCTTCCATTCAAGTCATGATCCTGGAGTCCCGCGATTGAGATCAAGCCCCACATCAGGCTCCGTGTTCTCTTCTCACCCTGCTTGTGCTCTCTCACCCTCTCTCTCTCTCTCTCTCTCTAAAATAAATAGATAAAATCTTAAAAATAATAATAATTTAAAAATAAAATGTGCAGGGAGAACCTGGGTGACTCAGTTGGTTAAGTACTGACTCTTGATCTCAGCTCAGGTCTTGATCTCAGGGTTGTGAGTTCAAGTCCTGAGTTGGGCTCCACACTGCTTGTGAAATGTACATAAATAAATAGTGCTGGGAATTTTATAATTTAAAAATAATGAAACCTTTGATGGGGGCACCTGGGTGGCTTTGTCCATTAAGCATTATCCCAGGTCATTGGCTTTGGTTTAGGTCATTATCCCAGGTCCTGGGATGGAGCCCACATTGTGCTTCCTGCTCACTGGGGAGTCTGCTTTACCCTCTCCTTCAACCCCCCTTCCATCATACTCTTTCTCTCTCTCTCTTTCTCTCTTGCTCTGCACTCTCTCTAAGTTTTTTTTTTTTTTAATTAACTTTTGATGAAAAAAATGTTGACTTTAAAATGGAGTCAGAGGGAACATACATAATAGTTAACTGAACAAAAAAATACTCCAAGGCCACCGTTGGCCTAGGACTTCCGGTCAGGGCATGTACTCATTGAGAGAATAGCGAGCAATCGAGCACTTTAACATTCTCTCCTTTTTGCCAAGTGTGGCATGGAGGCTCTCTTGAGTAAACGAGTTCATGGTAATGGGAACTAGACACAGCATGTGTTTCCTGGTGCATTAGACTCTACATGGAGCTCGAGATAAAAGCATCGTTGCAATGCACGGGTGAACAGTGAGTAGAAATTTTGTATGGTTAGCTGGTCAAAGACCTACGCATCGCAAGGCGATGGGGCAAGAAGCGAGCGCATACGGTGTTGAGTCGTACTAGGAACGCAACATCCAGAAGTGCTTTCTGGGAACACTTGTGTTCTGATAGCAGGAATGCAAGGCTAGGGCCAGGTTGGGGAGGTCAGCAGCCTCAGCTCAGCCAGTGCGGGGTGCGCTTCCCGTCTCACACCTGTCTCTGTGTCTTTTTCTGTCTCCCTGCCCCTGCAGTCCCTGCTCAGCATCCCGGGCTCCCCGTTCCTCTCCCGGCACAACAGCAAAAGCAGCATCTTCAGCTTCAGGGGGCCCGGGCGCTTCCGCGACCCGGGCTCGGAGAACGAGTTCGCGGACGACGAGCACAGCACGGTGGAGGAGAGCGAGGGCCGCCGGGACTCGCTCTTCATCCCGATCCGGGCCCGCGAGCGCCGCAGCAGCTACAGCGGTTACAGCGGCTACAGCCAGGGCAGCCGCTCGTCGCGCATCTTCCCCAGCCTGCGGCGTAGCGTCAAGCGCAACAGCACGGTCGACTGCAACGGCGTGGTGTCCCTCATCGGTGGCCCCGGCTCGCACATCGGCGGGCGGCTCCTGCCAGAGGTGAAAATAGATAAGGCAGCTACCGACGACAGTGTAAGGAAGTAAACGCATAGACCGAGGCTAGGCATGGCAGTCTCTCCCGCGCCCTCCTCTCTTCTCTCCCGCTGGCCTCTGGCTCCCACGCTCCCTCCCCCGCTCTCAAGTCTCTGTCCCCACCAGCACCGCCTGCTTCTGTCCTCTCCTTCCTGCTCTGTTTCTGTTTCTCTCTTCCGCCCCTCCTTTTCCCATTCACTTTAATCCCTGCTCTGTCCACCCCCGCCTCCTTCTCCCTCTGTTTCTATTGCCCTACCCCATCAGCTCCTTGCTTTCTTTTACCTCCTTTTCTTTCTCTCCATCTTTGCAAGTCTTTAGTAGCCTACTGTTTCCCTCTCCCCACCTGCTGTCACTGAATGCCTCTGGCCAGCGGATCCTGCCCTGATGGAATGAGAATTGCCACCACCAATGACCAAGTCTGAGCCGGTTTGGAACTACCATTGCTTCTCTCCCTCCCACCTCCTGTCCCCATAGGGAAACAGCCTGGAATTTAAAGCTCTGATCTTTCTGTTAAAAAACAACAACAACAATATAGCTCAGAATAATTTTCCAAGACTCCTCTGTAAGAAGGAGGTGTGATTTTTCCAAAGAGGAAGGTGGATGCCTGGTGTGGCGAGCAGGAGGTGTGCACCAGGGAAAGCCAGGCAAGGAGAGGTTAGGGAAGCCAGTGCAGAACTGGAGCTAGACGTTCAAAAGGGATTGAAATGGAAATAAAGGAGGGAAAAGTGGGAGGTTGGGGCAAGAACACATGGTGTATGGGGGAGGAAGGAAAAGGGAAGCGAAAGATGAATTTTAAATGTAATCAAATGTCAGGCTCTGGAGGAGCTGCATATAATAGCTTCATAAAATCACTTGTCTAGGGGGTTGGCTAATGGCTCCCCTCTTTGGGAAAAGCCATCTCTTCACATTTCTTTAAATTCTAAGCTGTTTATACCTTTTTTTTTCTAGTTTCAAATTCTTATAACCTCAGCGATCCTAATCCTCCGTGCCTCTAACTCCCTAACTTCCCTCAGTCCTTCCTTAGCTGGCATAAGCTCCTTGAGACAGCATGCCAGTCCGTTTTGTTCTAACATTTCAGTTTCCTCTAACACAGCACGGAGACAGCCCATGCTCTGATTAGCATGATGCATGCGTGGAGGAGAACTGGACAGTCGAGGCTGGAATTACTCCCAGTGATCTATTTGTAATATTTCAGGACAGTTGTTGACTGTACAGATAAAAACTCAAAGGCACTTAGGATGTGTTGACATTGTCTTTTCTCTCCTGCCTTTTTATTTAATAGCACAATACCCCCCCACACACGCACACACGTGTTTGTTTAGCGCTTTACAAGCTACAAATTACTTTTACGTTCGTTATTTAATTTGCTCTGAATAAAAATTTTCTGTAAGGCTGACCAAGTGGAGGGCATTATTCCTGTTTCTAGATGGGGAAGTAGGGCTCAGAGAATTTGGGCTCTTTGAGGTCCTACAGCTCATTGTTGATAGAGCCAGAGTCTTAGGGAAAAATCAGTCTTCTCTTTTTCAGTGAATTTTAATGCCTTCTTTGTTTAGTCATGTGGCCATTTTTCTTCTGGAAAACTGTTTCTTTAATATCAACTATAATAGGAACAATAATAATAACAAATAGTGGTTCCAGAATCCCCCCAAAACCAGATAGTTGGCCAAAATAGATGTTACAGATGATTATCTTTCCTTTAAATATAATTTTGGATTGTCCCTAATTCTATATCTAGAGGTAAATTTTTAGGCTCCATAATTAGACAGTTATAGTCTCTGAAAAAGCAAGAAATTATATCAGTAGAGAATGAGGGACAGTACAGTTTGGGCAACTCAAATATTAAGAACCAAATTAAAATTTGATATTCTGGCCAGTTTTTTAAACACTTTGGCCAAATAACACATCTTGCTTTTTCTTTGAAAAGAAGGTATTAGAAAAGGTATCCAGAAAGGAAGCGATTGAACTTCAGCTGAAGGCAGATGAGCACGTTTGCTCATTGGTTTTGTTTTGGGGGTTTTTTGCAGCTTCTGTTATACTGTGTGGGGGGAAAATTTGAGAGGCAGTTGAGCAGATGGCTGTCTGCACCGCCTCACATCGTAGCCTGCAGAGTGCTGTCTTTGTGTTTTGGGGGGCCTGCACACACGACACCCTATTAGGACTTAGGGGATTCATTCCAGTGGTCCCAAGCGATGATGGTGACAGATTTGAGGATTCCCAAGGCCAGGAGGGCAGATCCCAGAGTGGCAGGATATGAGGTAGGCAGGACTGTTTCATTCCCAAAGCCTTCATAACTAGGAAAAGCTATTTCATTAGAAGCCATAAAGAAGCACTTCCTAGCTACTAATGGTGTGGCAGTCTACGTAAGTTATAGTAATAGGCCAAAAAGACAAAACAAAACAAAGAAGACTGCATAGAGCTTGTGTATAGGGTTTGGTATGATATCAGATCTATGGAAAGACTGCCTACAGAGAAAGGATGACTGACTCGAAGTTAACAGTAGTTTCCTTTGGGAGGGGACATTATAGGTGACTTTTTTTCTTCCTCACACTTTTCTGTTTTCACTTTTCTACAATGGACATAATAATTATAGCCACCATATATTGGGTTCTTGCTATAGTTACGCTCAGCACTTTATATGCATTTAATTTCTTATAACCGTTGTGTTCGGTAGGTGGTTTTATCCTATTAACAGGTGAGGTTCAGAGCCTTAGTGACTTGTGGAAATGGAGCTTGAACCAAGGTCTTCCCACTGTCAAAGAGAACTTCCTGGCTGCTTGAATATTAGCTTCTTTGGGAAGTGGGGAAAAACATGTATCATTTATCTTAGAGAGAGGCAATAGATTCCTGTTATATGCAGCCCAGGCCAGAGGAGCGGCGAATACCACTATCAGCCAGGATGGAGCGGTTCTCACTGTTCAGACATTTGGGATGAGTCCCCAGTGGATTAACTTGCCTTCACCTGAACCACTAGAGTGCTTCCATGGTATGCTCATGCTTTGTGGGGTTGCGTAGGAGCTGCTGAGGCCCTCAAGCTGGTATCACTCAAGACTGATGCTTAGGCTATGCCACATCCGTATTTTTTCCTCACACTCAAATTAAGGAATGTAATATTCTCAGGGCGCCTGAGTGGCTCAGTTGATTAAGCATCTGACTCTTGATTTCGGTTCAGGTCATGATCTAAGGGTCCTGAGATCAAGACCCACATTGGTCTCCACGCTCAGCAGGGAATCTGCTTCTCTCCCACTCCCTCTGCCCCTCTCTCTGCTTGTGCACACATGCTCTCTCTCTCTCAAATAAATGAATCTTTTAAAAAAGGAAAGAAAGAAAATATATATATAATATTCTCTGTGGAAAAAAGATATCTGGGCATCACTCATTAGAGTTTCATCAGAAATGATTTCACCTGCTCATTACTTATTCAGTTATGATTGGTGATTATTTTTCAGTAGTTTGGGAATTTTCACTTTTGCTTTTTGTTGAAGCAGAGGGTGAGGGGACATTCCCATGTCTTCATCCCTAAGCTGGAAAAGTAGGTGAGAATCTCATCACTCATAGAGAAAGCAGGTGCTGCTGACAAATCCAGAAATCCCAAGTAACTCAGAAATCATTTTGTGCTAGCTTGCAAATACACATGCACTATCTCATCTAATGCTCACAGCCAATAAATCATACTCTTGTGTGCATTTCACTGAGGAGGAAACCAAGGCTTAGAGAAATAAAATGACTTGTCCAACATCACACAGTATGTGGCAGGCTCAGGGCTTGAACACAGGCGGTCTGACTCCAGAGCCCTGGCCAGTATTCAGTGCCCCACACCAACTCTGAAGCCCAGGTTTATTTACTGATGTGATCCTGGGAAATTAACATCACCACTCTATGCCCATTTCCTTATCTGCAAAAAAGAAACAAAAGGACCTGTGCTATATAGGGCTGTTGCAAAGATGAAATGTAATAACATTTATAAACTGTGAAGCATGTTATTTGGCCCACTCTTGGTGTTCAGAAGGCCAGTTTCCGTTTATTTCCCTATACTTTTTTGGCCTTCTTAGCCCTGAGAAGTAGACATTAGGATTTCTCCTGAATTGCTTGACTTGGCGAGGGTTGCATTCCTCTAAAATCCTAAAGAACCTTTGAGAAGAAGCAATTATTGGGCAATTATTTTAAAGCAGATTACTACAAAAATTTGAGGAAGGCTTAAACGGGAAATAAATGGCTAGGTTCTAAAGCTACTTCTAAACTGCTCTAAATTTTAGTTCCAAGAAAGGTGCCTGCCTGATAAGTTTCCATTCATGCATCTCCATTGGAAAGCAATTTAGTTGCGGTTCCGTTGGCAGATCTGTATAAATGTGGGCAAAATCTGCCATCTGCAGGTGTCGTAGGACACCTCTCTGAGAAGGACAGCTACAATTCAGGAGGCTGGACGTCAGGAGCTAAATGTCCTAATAAACTTTGCATTTGGGTTGAGAGAAATGGAACAATTTTGCCCTGAGTTTAACTTTCAAAGAGTGTAATTAAGGTTCTCCGTGGCTTCCTCTGTTACTGACAGTTTTACATGAAATCTCCTTAGGGACGGAATTCTAAAAAGGCAGAAACTCCTGCCTTTAAAACATTGTTAATTCTTCTCTTTCCTCCCCAACAAAGTAAAACAAAACAAACAAAAGAAATAAACACCTCCACTTACAGGAATTAAAAAATGACCTGAAGAGGGAAGGGAAAGAGGATGTGAGCTTTCCTCTGGCCCTTGGGTCTCAGCGTCCCTCCCAAGGGTAAGTAGCTGAGCCAAGAGCAGAGACACACCTCCCAAGCGGATTCTGGAAGGCCGCCTCTGCAGCTCCTGGACATGGGAGAGTCTACTCCAGCATTCCTTCCCTCCAGTTAGCTAGAATCCATGGTAAAAAAGCAACAACCAACCACCCGGAAGGTGAGTGCAAAAAGGGGCAGCCACTTTGGAGAACAGTAGCAGTTGC